CGTGGCTGCGGAGGCGGATGGGATGGGTTGGGAGAGCGGCGCGGAGCTGGTTTGCGTGGGGGGTGATGGGGAGGGGTGCCCGTTTTGACCGTTTGTTTGGGGTTGGGAGTCGCCGTTTATGTCGGCCATGATGGAGATGGAGTAGGTTTCTTGCGCTCTAAATTATTATGTTTCGTGGATGAATCTTTCTTTGATTGCGTCGCAAATGTGAGTTGATTGAATGGTTAATCGCGCGAGTTTTTTGTTGTTGAGCTTAACTTGTAGGCGTATGTCACTCGGAGATTATTTTATGTTGAGCATCGTAGTTGAATAAAAAGCTGTCGAACAATCTCGAATTCTGTGTTGCAAGATGAGTATATTTACACCTGGGAGCTCAAATATCTGTGACGCCAATGGGCAATGAATGCAGCTGCATAACCCCGATACAGCACAGACCGCACCTTAAATTTATTTTCGTGGTATCATTCACTCGATTGATTGCCCCTCCATTACATAACCAGTTATTTGACGGATCGAACTTTTTCTTTCTGATTGTTGACTCACTTCTCTCCAAACTTCTTTGGAATTCTCATTGAATTTCAAGATATTGCTATCGTTCTTCAATATGGATACTACAACTTCACTTCCTTTTCTTCCCAGTGTTGACCTTGGGAATGGTCCTGCAGAATCAAAAGTAGGACTTACAAGAGACCAGCTATCTTATCTGGGGTGCGTTTACTTCACAGCGAACAATGACACCATCGATATTCTCCTTGGATTCTTGCAGAGACACGTTGGCATTGAGACTTATGTCGATGTATCTACCATTGAATCTATAGACGACATTGTTACGATTCTAGATGCTGGAGCTCGCACCGTATTTGTGAAGCCATCACAGCTTCCACACTTGGAAAAGCATACAGACCGTGTTCTTCCAATCATCCCACAACCGCAGACAGATGTCGAATTCCCCAATGGAGGACTACTTGCTTTTGTGGACGAAGCCTATACTCGATCTCTGCTGGAAGAATTCAAGACCAAGAAAGTGTCTCCGATTTTCCTCCTGCCAACCCCCGAAAGCGATTTCAAATTACTTGCTAAAGTTGCCAAAGAATTCTCTGCCATTCCTATCATACCTGCGACACACCTGAGCATTGAAGCGGCTGGAGAAGGCCAAGTCTCTCTTCCAAAATTGGTTGCGGATTCATGGACTTCAGATAGAGCAGACAAATTGATTCCTACCGTGGTGACAGATGAGAGAGGAGTGGCTTTGGGACTTGTATACAGCAGCGAGGAGAGCTTGAAAGAGTCATTGAAAACCGGAACTGGAGTATACCAGAGCAGGAAGCGTGGATTGTGGTACAAAGGGGCAACATCTGGAGATACACAAAAACTCATCAGAGTGTCTTTGGATTGCGATCAGGACTGCTTGAAATTTGTGGTCAAGCAACAAGGACGGGGATTTTGCCACCTACCACAATCGACTTGTTTTGGCGAATACAAGGGAATTTCTAAGCTTGAGAAGACTCTTGTTTCAAGGAAGGCTTCGGCACCTGAGGGATCCTATACCGCGCGTCTCTTCTCGGATGAAAAGTTATTGCGTGCCAAGATTATGGAAGAAGCAGAGGAGCTTTGTGATGCCAAGGAAAAGAAAGATATCGCTTTCGAGGCAGCAGATCTCATCTACTTTGCTTTGACAAAGGCAGTTTCTGCCGGAGTTAGCCTTGCAGACATTGAACGTAACCTTGATGCCAAGAGTGTTAAGGTTAAGCGAAGACAAGGAGATGCTAAGGGGCAATGGGCCGCAAAAGAAGGAATCACCAATGCATCCACAGCCAAGACCGAAAGCGTTAAGGAGGCCGTCAAGGAAGCTGCCTCTGTGCCAAAGTCCGCGGACGACAAGGCAGGACTCAAGAATGGACGCATCACTATGAAACGATACAATGCTGCAACAACATCAGAAACAGATCTCAAGGATATTTTGCAAAGACCCTCCCAAAAGTCTACTGACATGATCATGGGTATCGTGAACCCTATTATCAAGGAAGTACGAGAGGGAGGTGACAAGGCATTGCTTGGATACACCCACAAGTTCGAAAAGGCAACTTCTCTTACATCTCCTGTTCTCAAAGCTCCTTTCCCACAATCACTCATGGACCTTCCAGCAGAGACTATCGAGGCTATTGACATTTCCTTTGAGAATATTCGTAAATTCCATGCAGCACAAAAAGAGCAGCCATTACAGGTTGAGACAATGCCAGGTATTGTTTGCAGCAGATTCTCAAGACCCATTGAGCGTGTAGGATTGTACATTCCAGGAGGTACTGCTGTACTTCCAAGTACAGCTCTTATGCTGGGTGTCCCAGCTATGGTTGCTGGCTGTAAGAAGATCGTACTGGCATCGCCTCCTCGATCTGATGGTAGAATTACTCCTGAGATCGTCTATGTTGCCCACAAAGTTGGTGCTGAGAGTATTGTCTTGGCTGGTGGTGCTCAAGCTGTTGCTGCTATGGCATACGGCACTGAAAGTGTTACAAAGGTCGACAAAATTCTTGGTCCAGGTAACCAATTCGTTACTGCGGCAAAGATGTACGTTAGCAACGACACCAATGCTGGTGTAAGTATCGATATGCCAGCTGGTCCATCTGAGGTACTCGTCATTGCAGACAAGGAAGCGAACCCTGCATTCGTTGCATCAGACTTATTATCCCAAGCAGAGCACGGCGTTGATAGTCAGGTCATTCTAATTGCTATCGATCTTTCCGAGAAAGAATTGCAAGCCATTGAAGACGAACTTCACGCGCAAGCTATGGCTCTACCAAGAGTAGATATTGTTCGTGGTGCCATCGAACACTCGATAACTCTTGTTGTCAAGGATATTGAGGAGGCAATGAGACTCAGCAATGAATATGCTCCAGAGCATCTCATATTGCAAGTCAAGGATGCCGCGGGCGTGGTAGAACTAGTTGAAAACGCCGGTAGTGTATTCATTGGTGAATGGACACCAGAGAGTGTTGGTGATTATTCTGCTGGTGTCAACCACTCTTTACGTAAGTTTGTTACTCACCTAATTGTATGACTGTGCTAATAACTGAAATAGCTACATATGGATTTGCTAAGCAATATTCTGGTGTCAACCTCGGATCATACCTGAAGCACATCACTAGTTCACAACTGACAGCTCAGGGATTGAGAAATGTTGGTGGTGCCGTGATGCAATTAGCGAAGGTCGAAGAATTGGAAGCTCATAGAAGAGCTGTTGGACTAAGGCTGAAGTATATGGATGAAAATAATCTATGATGATTTGTATTTATAGCGGGTGAATGAATTTAAAAGTCTCTTATTACGTTCTCGCTTTGTTGGTTAAGTTAGTAGTAATATAACTCGCGCGAGCAATTCAATACCGTACATGATTTTTGCTACGGTAATTCACTACCTTAAATATTCTTCCACTATCTATCTATTCCTTTTGAAAACTCACAGCAAGACATATCCATCCCATAAGTGTTCGTGTTCATTCTGACAACTCGAAACCACATCACAACAATCATCAACATCAAAATGGTTCAGAAACGCACTATTGAGGTTGTGATACCACAAATGTCAAGTCAAAGCATTAATTCAACTACAAAGTCAAACAAAGTTGTATCGAAGACCGTCCCAGCCATTCCTCTGGCCAAGTATAACGAAGAGCAAGATTTATACAGTCCTAGTTCTCCACGTCGTACAGATGACGAATTGCAGAGCAAGTTGAATAATGGCAAAATGGCATCGATGTCTAGCTTGCTGGGACACTTCTTTTCCGGGGCCAGAGAAGAGGAAAAGGAAAAGGAAGATGCACAGGTAATCCGTGGTGCGAATCCTCCACATCGCACGAAGGATCAACTATTCAACCGCGGCGGAGATAATCATCAAGCACCAGCAAATTCAAGCAACAGAAGAGAAGAGGATATAAAACGAGAGGTTGAGAATAGGTATGAAGCTAATCTTCCACGTCGAGCAGATGTCCGAGTGAGATTCGAGTTGGATAATCATGAGATCTCGACTCCCTCGTCTGCATCCAATGAAACGACTCCGCAGATGACTCCTACTTCTTCTTTGGTCGATGAAATGGAAGGGGATCTTATTGATCTCTACGATGATAATCAAGATGATGGTGATGATGATACCCCTCTCCGCCACACAGGCGAGGAATTCCTCTCGGACGAATTCGAATTCGAACCCCATCCACATCCACATCCACATCCAAATCTACATCGCGCCCCTAAATCATTCATCATCTCCCAACAACCCCACACACAAACCAAAGCCCCTCCAACAACTCCGCAAACCCATCGTGCTCCGTCTGCAAACATGATATCCACATCTCCACGTGCAATCCCCAAGCACGAAATCTTCCTGCACACACTCCCATCCAAACATGCTTCGGTCCCACAAATCCGCACCTGGATCGCGAGCTGGTTTTCCGGTCGGGACATCGCGTTTGCCGTCCCGTGGGAAGACGAGAAGATCGGGCTGCAGCGATATATCGAGTGTATTTCCTGGAGTGGCCATGATATACATCATGGGAGTTGTGGCAGTTTGGAGAATGATATGAGAGGATGGATGTTAGGGGGGTATGCGACACCGATAGTGAGGGATATTGAGACGGCGAGGAATATGGAACGGGAGAGGAAGTGGGAGGTGGCTGTGGGGAGGTTCACGGATTTTCTTTATGGTGCTGTGGTTATGGGGGTGGTGGGACTGGTTTTGATGGTTTGGGTGCCTTGTCCTTGTCGGAGGTATTGATTCTTTTTTGCTTCGTCGTGGACATATGGAATCCGTAGCCCGGAACTAGCGCATTTTAGAATTTGCTCGAGATGTCGGTTATTGAGCGATACGAATATTGTGATCATTAAGGGGATCAAGGGGTCTCGAGCGGGTGTATCTAAAGAGAATAAATGTCAAGAGTTTCTGTCAATTTAGTTTGTGCTTCATAAGTGTATTGTACCTGGCATCCATTCAAAAAGAGAGAACGATTCTGCAGAAATGTCAAATTGGGTAAATGTATTTAGTGAAGTATATACATATTTGAAAATATGCTTGATAAATAAACGCGTCATCTTATTCAATGATTGAAAGAAAAGAAAGTTTTTAAAAACGCCTCCTGATGCCAACAACTATCTACACAGGCCGTGAAAAAAAAAGTATTGTATCGTATCGTCAATCATAACCAAACGAATCTTTTTAGCCAGCTTGTTACAAGTAGCAAATCATTAAACCCCACTCGAGCCCTATTAAAGCCCTGAGATATCGCATTTTTAAAAGACAGGTGGGAAAGAAATGATGCCCGCGAAACGCCATCCAGCCCTAGATATAACAGTACATAGAAACTGTGCTACTGTGTATTAAATATATTCGCAGTCTACGAATAGAACTGACTCTTTTGGAAACTTTCCACTCCGATATCCCCTGCCTTTCCGGCCACGGCAGGAGGGGCCGCCAGTACCTTTACTTGATTGGCATTGGCGATACTTGAACTAGTCATAGTACTAGTTCGACTCCCACTTTGACTTGCACTCTTGATTTCGGCGATAGGTTGACCGGGTCGCCTTGCTACTTCCAAGTATACACCAGGAAGGTATCCCATGCGACCATCGCGGGCACGACATCGCCACCATTCTGATGGATTGCCCATGGGATCACTCTTGCTAATCACTGCCACTAAATCTCCTTTCTTGACTTCCAGATCTACACCTTGGACTGCTGCACCGGATTCGGGGGTAAAGTCGTATAAGACGCGGCAGAAATCGAGTTTCGAAGGGTCGAGTGGTGCGGGGACAGGCTGGCCATCAGGGCCCATCAGTTGACCTGATGCAAGTAGCCGTTTTTGCTCCTCTTCTTGGGAGGCAGCGAGCGCTTTGATCATCTTACCCATGAGGTATGGGAGACCAAATGCAGCTGCTATGAAAAAAAGGAAGGGCTTCTTGGATGGACGAGGTGGAGAACTACCGTCTGGCAGTATTTTGCGGCCTTCGAAAGAGGCGAATGCGGAAGGTGTTAAGGAGGTGGCATCTACAGGCATGGGTCGACCTGTGATCTTTGCAAAGAGAGTGCGTATCCAGCGCATCATGGTAAATATTCCTAGGATGGAACCCAGACTATTGCGCAAGTTTCCGAGCTGCTCAGCAACAGATACCATCGCTTTGATTGTCAGTAAAGCACGTTTTGAAGAATGTCTTCATGAGAGTCCGCCTACCAAAAAAACTAGAGTGTGTAGCCATGTATGTGCTCTCAAGCATCTGAGCAAATCCTCCAAATGCACCAACTACACTTTCAATTATTTGGAAAGTAGCTTGTGTGCTCTGCGTGAAACCTTGCGTTAAGCTATTGGGATCATTTGGTCCCATGCCTCCCATATTTCCATACATCCCGCCCATGCCTCCACCATACATAGATCCATAGCCTCCCATACCACCATAACCATAACCTCCCATGCCCCCCATTCCTCCCATTCTTGAATAGGGTGATGAGTAAGACCCCATACCTCCCATACCATATGGCGAAGCTCCTACTGCTCCCATCCTATTTGCGCCGTATGGTGAGTATGCGGATGCGTTTTGATTAACGGTGTTCGTGAGAGTAGATGGTCGTTCGGGTATGGCTGGTGCGCCCGAGGTACTAGCAGATGTAGATGATAAGACTGATGGTCCAGCAGAACTTCCCGAGGTAGCAGCAGTAGTTGAGGTCATGGCTAGGCGAAGAAGATCAAACGTTAGCAGGGATTATATAGAAGACAAATGTTATCTTGTAGATACTAACCAGGGCTTGGAAGCGCAGTGCTAACTGCAGCGCCACCTCGTTCCCAAGGTTTCGGCGGTGAGGCCATGATAAATTATTCGACACAAACAATGTCGTCCAGACTGCGCCGATGTACCTACACAAACAGTGAAGGTCTTATGCCAGTGAAAGGGATGAGTTTGGGTCGCAAAGTTGACGGATTTGATGGATGAGATTAAATGATTTCTAATAGGATCCAAGCTCGTGATGGCCGATAAATAAAGAAGGCTTAGCTTAGCCTGTGATAGTAGAATTTTGCGGGGGGGCTGTTTGAATTGGATTGGCTAGAAGTATTTGTTCGGTGTGTTTTGATTGAAAGCGGATTTGGAAGTGAAATTAGAATGAACAGATTGATGATTGATGATTGATTATACCTCCAAAAAGGCCGATGTTTGCAGAATTATTATACAGTCAAGGTAAAAAAGAATAGATTTGGATGAAGGAAGGAAGTTTGATTGTTTGTTTGAATTCCATACCATATGGAGGTTGGGAATGAAATTCATCAAAGACGCCCGACGCTCATGCCCGAAATTCGCTTCTGAGCTAATGAAAGACCTCGGTATTTCGGTCAATGGAGTTTGAGTCAGTCTAGGTACTTATCCACTTACATACTAGCGACGAGGCTACCTAGACCCTTTCATCTTTTCATTACCTAGGTACGCTCGAGAGGAGAGAGGTGTATCTGACATATGATATTACCAAAAACTGTAGGTAGACGATTACATTCACAAAGTACAACCTGGGTGCTGGTAACTTGGAGCACATATCACGTTCACGTTGCCTACAAGTAACGAAATATCTGGGTAAAATTGATAGGCTTCAAATAATATCAATCGTATTCACATCTGCCAACTTTCAACGTCTTCCTCACAAGCTAATAAGTCTCTGAAGACTTTATCTCAATTCAGCAAAGGCTGGACTCTCTGCGATGAACTCCTTCCATGTTGTCAATTTGTCCACCAAGATCTAGATGGGATATTAGTACAAAAATCCAGAAAAGATCCCTTGAAAAAAAAACTTACAGAATGGCTCTCATCCAAAGAATCACCTCCATAATATCCAAACTCGTTCAACAATCTCATATTCTGCAACACTTCTTCTTGAGCGTCGTCACTCATACCAAAACTCTTGAGGATGCTCTTATAGACTTCATGGGGAAGTTCAACATTGTCGGCTCCTTCGCTAGCAGCAGGATACTGTTCTGTGAATTCTTTCAAAATCTCGGTCAAGGTGTAATACTTGGTGGCACCATAAATACGCTTTCCAAGAACCTTTTCTCTGTTGAGAAGAATACCCTTGACGAATTTACCAGTGTCCTCAACTGTAACATATCAGTAAGAAATTCCTGTACTTTCGGATAGCAGCAGTACTCACCAGTAGCAAGAAGTGGGACAGAAGATGAAGCTGGAATTGGGAAAGCAAGCTTCCATTTGTTGTCAGGTGGTAACTTTGACAAACTTTGGCCAGGAATGTTGGACATGTAAAATCCGGCCAAGAAGAAAGTCGCTGGGATCCCGATCTTTCTGACATATTCCTCGATATGGGCCTTGGAGTCAAAATGTGTGACCTTGGGAAGGGCTCCTTTGGAGACTGTGAGAAACTGGTCAGTTTTAAGTCCTCGTAACAGGCTGGACCAACAAAAGTGGGGTGAGAACTTTGAAATGCCCAAATGGGATGAACGGGGTGGGATATTAGATTTCTCAAGACACGTAAAACAATAACAAGACACGTAAAACAATAAAAGTACAAACAAGACGGTAATGAAAACATGGCATCTGAGCTGTAGAAGGAAACAGTGACAAGTGAAAAGACTTACGCTTCGTAATGTCCAACAAAGAACTCCAAATGAAGTGTTCAACACCAGCTTCCTATGAGTAGGTAAAATTAGACTCGAACTCTCTCACTCTAATGTGTTCGATGGCCAGAGATCTCATACCTTTGCAGCATCTGCAATTGCAATTCCTTGCTTCTTCTCTACGTCGGCACTTTGGCTCTCCCAAAAGTTGGTGACGGCAAAGACAGCGTATGCTCCCTTCACTGCAGCTTTGAGAGACTCTGCATCATTCAAGTCTGCCTATAGGTATTTGTCAGTTCCGAACAAAGCAATGTAGAGACTGTTGAGGGACTTACAGCAACTGTCTCAGCACCGAGGGCTTCGATTTTCTTGGCAGCGGGCTTTGTTACATCTCTGGTGATGCCTCGAACTGCCCAGCTCTCCTTCAATTTAGGATCCGAGAGAATGCTTTGAACAACTGAGCCACCTTGTGCTCCTGTAGCTCCGAAGACGACGAGCAATTTCTTATCACTGGAAGACATATTGATTGTTGGGTTTGATTTTGTTGATTCGGGAAAATTGATGGTGTTGTCAGTTAAAAGAGGGGTAAAAGCAGTGGCACAAAGGCTGCAATGCAAGTAAGATTTTAGAGGTGAAGATTGGATTGAGTCAAAGATATCTGAATCTGGAAATGGAATGTATACTTCCGTTCCTTCCTACCTGGAGGTACTTATAGGAAAATTCGAGCATACATTTACTCAAATCGTGCTGCTTCAAGTTCGCTCTGCGGCTTAGATTTCAGCTGCGGGTAATGACGACCGTGAATGACCCCGCGGATGACATTCCAAAATATTAGCTAACCACTAGTTGAGTAGCTAGTAGTAGAGCATTGATGGAATTAGCCCTTTGAAGCTCTTGCTAATTCCGAGCTCTTGATGGTGCCGAGAGGGATAGAATGGCGAGCTGATGATGCCGAGAGGGATAGAATGGCAGGAGGCAAAGGTAACTCTGAGCTAAAGCTGCTTTCTAAACTCAAAGTTGACTTAGATTCCAAGTTAGTCATCGCTTGGAGCATCTCGCATCTCGCTCTTTCGCGTTCATGCAGAGAGAACGAGGTGGGTGTTGATTAGGTAAGGAGAAAAGGTTAAAATGCCTCAACTTTAATTGTTGATTATCAATCCAGCTTCTCATCGAGCTCATGTGCCAAGCCTTCGATTGCAATTCTTCATCAACATTAAACTTTTTTCTTCAATCACATCCCCTGTCTTACCAATACAAGTTATCGTACACAACACAAGTTACAACCTTCTTACAAGTTATAATGTCCGGTGGACTCAAGAAAAAGCATCGAGGCGATGCCAAGCAAATGCATTTGTGGTACACATCGATTTCTTCATATTGATAAGGACCAGAGCAAAGTCCACGGCCTTGTGCCCATCAGAGACCATATCTTACTTACATTTTCCCCATCGACCCCCTCATCAACCCCTTCAAAAGATTGAATAAGGATAATGCGGCGACGAATGGAAGCAATCTAGAAAAGCAGCACAACACCGTTTATCTTACCTTGCCAAGCTCAGCTTCCTCCATATTTCTTTGACGACCGCTTGTCAATTACATTGCTGTCTTGCTGCCAAAGCTAACTATGCGATGAGCCAACGATGCCGTTCTTGTAAACCTACTACCTAATTGATTTCTTGTGATCCCTCGTGTGTACAGTTATTGAATCACTCAGATACATCGGATTTGCCTCAGAATCCGCCTTATCTTTTAAGAAGCAACTGCTTGCGGTCTTAATGCAAGAGCATCTGCATTATCACAAATCACAAATCTGGGGCAGAACCTTAAGGTAGCAAGCGCTTAAAATGCACCAATGAACTCGTTCATGTAGTAACCTTCAAGCATCGAATTTTTCAGAACCAAACTGTCGGATTTCATCTCCACCATCTTCAATAATTCTTTGGCCAGCAGTGTGTCTCATAGTGCGATTAGAGTTGAGTACAAGCAAAATAAATATAGATATGCCCGGATTGAAGGTCCTGTCGCCCCTAGCGATGAACGCTGTAAGGGGGCCAAAGATTGTCATAATCTATTGGGTATACACGCTCCGAACACAAACGCTACCCTGTGTTTTCGCGGGTCCGCGTCTAGTAGCCATGCGTTTATGTGATGATGGTGCAAGTTTCTCATTGAGTCTTGGGGTCGATTCGACGAGGAAGAGCTTCATAAAAAGAAGTTGTTCCCGTATTCGTCGCACAAAGCTTTTCCTGTTCAATTGCTTGCTTTCATTCTATAATATCATCGTCGGCAGACACTTCATAGGAAGCTATCTGTAATTTTGTTTCTACAAGCGAAATAAATCACGCGAATCGTAGGGGAACTAAAGCCATCATGACAACTGGAAATACTCTATCTGGGTCTCCTACTTCACCAACAGCACCATGGGTTCAGCAGTCAGGTAGAGCTGGTACACCAACTAGTGTTTATTCAATTACCAATTCCCCTGTATTAGGAGCCCCATCTTCCCCGACAATATCAACATCTTCCAGTCCGCAAGTAGTTACACCCCCTAGGAGCACTAGCCCATCGATATCTCCCATATCGTCAAATAGTTCGTCGCATTCCAGTCTCCCTAGCGCTCACAACCAAACGATACCACCTAAGACTCCAAATTCCGTTCTTTCGAAATGGGGAATTGGATGGGAAACGCCAACGATAATCATATCCTGTTACCTGCTCGGTATGTTTCTCCATAGAATCAGATAATTGGTATTCTAACCAATCTCATCTGTAGCTCTCGCAACCGCCTTCCTTCATTTGTTTTTATTCATCTACATTTCAGGCAAAGCAGCCGACGGAGAAGACAGAGTTGCTCCTCAGACATATATCTCCACGGCGTCTAACATTCTAGCCAATGCTTTCTCATTCTTTCTCAAGACGGCCTTGGCCACATCTTTTGTTCAGTATCTATGGCGTCTTCTGCGCGTTCAAAGCATGAAGATCTCCACGATCGATACTCTTTTCGGACTAAAGTCCAATCCTTTTCAAATGCTTACAGGGGCTGCTATTCGTGCTGCTCCTGTTCTGTCTGTGTTGTCTATAATGATGGCTAGTATGACTGTTGCAGTCAGTTTCCCTCCTGGTGCTATTAATGTTATTACAATACAAAGAACATCGTATAATTCGGTAGTGGTTCCAACATTCAATGCATCATTTGTGAGTTTTCATCGGGACCCGAATACCCATCGAACATTTTCGGCTAATCACAATCGACTAGATGGGGAATGGTTCTGGCTTGGCCGCTAACAAATATGCTTTGGCTGTGTTATCACCGATATCTGAGAGTGCGGATGGATCTGTATCTGGATTTACTTCTAGGTAAGACATTCTCGAACTCTGCTCTAATAATCAATCTCTAAGAGTAGCTTCTAGCGGTCTGTTGTCAGGAAAACACTCCAATTTGCTTCCTCGCCTCGCTTTCCAAACAATGATCACAGGACAAGCATTCGATCAACCTTCACCCTGTGGCGTCAATTGTTCCTTTGTGATAGAATTTGAGGGCCCAACGCTTGGCTGCAACTCATCCAGCACCAATATCACATCCAGTGCCACTGCCAACTCGACAACCTTACTTCCAGAATTTACGATCTACTCAGGAAATTGGTCTGATCTCACACTTGCTACGCCTGCACTTCGACAGAAACTTTACAACGGAACCTATACGAATGCATATTGGCAAAGCAGCACATTATCCCTGTTAGATACAGAAGTAAACACCGTTGATGCCAATAACATCAATGAAACCTTGACCTTAAACACATCTATGATACAAGACAATCTTTACTGTACCCCTGGCCGCGCACTCTACACTGTAAACAACACCTATATCTCGAATGTTCTCATACGCAACGTCACCACCACCTTCATTTCGCCGCTAACAAATCTCGTACTGCACACCCACGACAATGCCGTCATCGTGCCCGGCTTCACCAACGTCTCTGGAATTATTAGCGGATACGATTTTGGCAGCAACCCCGCAAATTGGAGCGCTGAAGCTCTGGCCTATTATCGCGATTTGAATATGATGACGATTTTGGATACTATGTTTTACTACCTCGCTGGGGAATTTACAGCGCTGCCGGCTGTTCTCCTAGATACTGATGAGGAAAGGGCGGTAGATGCTATTGATGCCACGGGATGGGGGGAAGATTCGCCAGGTTTTGGGAATGCTGACGATTGGAGTTCTGGAGGTATGTTTTCAGCCCCATGATCAATCCTTACCCTCTCCTAGTCCCAACCCTCAACTTAAACACTAACCAATGCCTCCCCAGCTCTCAACGGCACAATCATCTCCCGCACTCCTCTAAATACAGCTTTTACACACTACACCACTAACTCCTCCGCAAACCCCTCCTTCGTCGTCACACAAAACGCACTCAACGCTCTCCTTCAAAACATCACCCTCAGCGCCTCCCTCTCTTACTCCCTGTGGTCCACCCCCACCAACACCAGCATGCTCACTCTCCACAACATCTATTCCTTCTCGCAACCCCTCAACCTCCTCCTCCCCTACTTCCTCTCCCTTCTCCTCTCCCTCCCATTCCTCATTCTCGGTCTCTGGGCCCTCGTTCAAAACGGCGTCGCAGCCCAAGACGCAAACTTTACACAACTTCTCTGCACCACTTCCTCCCTCTCCGCACCACCCCCGACACCCGGATTATCAAATAGAATCTCCAGCATGGCTATCCCATCGCAGCTTCGAACTCTTACCCAAGCGGCCTGTCTGGGAAACACAGAATCACTATCGAAACCTCTCAAGGAGTTGCGCATTCGTTATGGCGAGCTGAAGAATCCGAATGGAAATTCAGGAATGGGAAATAACATCCCGATGGGGGATATCAGGAGAGCCGGCTTTGGGCTTGAGAGCGAGGTCGAGCCGTTGGTGAAGGGAGGGAATTATGGTGTTATGGTTTAATGTTTCTTTCGCTTTATATCAGGGGGGAGGGGGTTGGATGGGTGGATTGTATATGGGTATTATGTACAGTGCAGTAGATGCATTAGAAATTAGAACTTCCCCAGTAGAAATTAATGAGGTAATTAGGATCTGGACTCTAGACTCTGGAGTATAAAGTCTAGATCATTCCACAAAACAAGAATTCACGAATGGACAAAAAATGGAGAAGGTAGAGAGAAAGCGCCATTCTTCCTGGAATATTGTATATACTCAAGAATCAGAATATATAATTTAGAAATTATATTCTCACGTTGATCTAGTCTGGTCTAGTCTACCTCGTCTGATATTTCAATCCAATACGAGAGTGAAAAAGATCCCATCCTAAATCTTCACAACATCCTTCATCAGGTTTGACAAACTATCGCTGCACCGATCCAGGTATGAAGCCCAGGTTTCCGTATGACGATTCACGGAATCTATTGGGCCAGATTTTTACAACTGTGAGTAATCAGTGCACTTCTTTTAACGGTTAGATGGTATGCAGGTAGATAGCTGTGACGTCACAGAATCCTTGTCTGACACTCAACGAACTCGTAATAACCTGAATAATCAGTGATGCTAGACGAGGTGTGCTAGCTAGTCCATCACTGGCCCCCCTTCAATCCTGAGTCCTTCGGCGTCTCCTTCATTGTCTCCTCCCACTCAACAATCTCCATCCACCCAAACCCATTCGATCAAATCCCCCAGTATAACATCTATAAACGACCAATTCAAAAGTCGTTCAGAGTTTTATATATTATACAAAGAGGTAATAGATATCGAAGTCAAGGAAACAGGCTTCGACAACTTTAATACATTTTAATACAAAACCCGACTTCTTATTTGCAATATAGTAAGTCGCTATATACAAACAGGATATACTCATTTCATTGTGCTATACAAATATAATTTGTATGAGCTATAATATCTATGTATACAAGGCGCCAAACTTACAGCTACAGAACATCCTGCGCAAGACAGATTAATGAGCCAAGTGTTCCACACAAGAGAAATGGGTGTTCTGTCTCGAAAGAGCGGGAATACAAATAAAGAAGAGGAGGAGAGAGATGATCAGGACATCGAAACGGAAAGAGCATCTACATCCGATGGAAACATCTGGCGCGATCTTCTATTCCTGGTTGATGAAATCCGAGCAGCGTGGTCTCTCTCCCCAAGTATCCCTCCCGTCCAGCACCACAATCTAAGTGCATTTATTGCTCGCCTTGCTTCTGTTGGAGTTTGTGATCCCAAGCTATGTTTAGTTAGGCTTTGGATCTTATGCAATACCCTTAAAACCCTACTGCTATTGACAAGCGGAGGAGCCGAGGCTTCCCGCCACGATTTGGAGCAACGTTTATATACCATTACGAATCTTCTCCCCACCGTACTAGTGTGGTTTCAGTACTGCGGACACAAAATCGAAAGCCTCTATCTTCTAAATCAGGATTTCGAATTCGGGATTTCAGAAATTGGGGAATTAACTCAAAAAGCACAGATAATGCCAACGAGTTCAGGATTTAGTATAGCGAGGTGGATATTTTGGAAAAAGAGACTGGAAGAGCTGAATCGATATAGGAATAAAGAGATTGCACCACTAACATTGAAAGCATAGAAAACGATAAAGTTCTGGGGTGAGAGAATTGAGTCTCGCAAAAGCGCGAAGCAGGATATGGAGTAGTATTATACGGGAAAGCAGTGATCGAGTGTAGAAGATGATGTCAAGGCTCGAGGTCTACTTGAATCGATATACGTATATGGAATATTGGAAGGCGGAATGGGAATTCATGAGAAAAGTAAGTCATCTGGGTGGTTCTGAGTGATGGCCTACGAGATATGATGTTGGTCTGAAGTACGCGGCGTAAGACTTACTATTACTTCTGGTGACTCGGAAGGGAATATTATATTAGGCGAATATCTTGGAAGGAGAATGTCGTAACCGTTTCTCGATCTTCTTCTCTATCTCTTACGCATTTTCATCGTATACTTCTTTACGACGTCTTTTCTCTCCTTGATTACCTTTCCAGATTTTGAATAAACACTTTTTAATAGGTCAAGTACTACCACTATAAAATAGGAGTTTGCTTTATGATATTTTCTCATCCTATAATAAATTTACGAATAAGTTCTATATTTAGTGGTTATGTAAAAAAAAAACATGACTAGAATGTCATAGTCAGAAATAGAGACCAAACCCTTATTAGCTCTTACTCAAGACCATCTAGATAATATAAACATCAAGCTTTCTAGTTAGACTCTCCGGACCAAGCTATACTATATACCTAAATCATTTATATAGTCAATTGATGTTAAACACCTGAGGAAAGACAGAAAAGTATGTGTGACTCAAATTTATATCTCAACGTCAAAATTTAGTCAAGGTATCACTTTAGACACCATATTTATCACGGGAATTTTGCAATAGTCTGGGAAAAGGTTATGAATATCATGACACACACCCCAGTGTTACTGGGAAGACACCATGCAATAGAACTATCCTACTGATGTCAAAGCTTCTCATTGGTACGTCAACATACACAAGAATAGAAGGGTATTTTATGAACAAAATTATCGCCTGCTTCCTAACACCACCTGCAGTCTAAAGACTTTTTTTTATTTTATCATTCTCTCCGCGGAATTTTCTTCGTAACCAATCGAAAATTCCAGATCTAGTTTTAAGATTAGGAGATGGCAAATTCAGAGAGTTGACTTCCAGTACTCGTACCACAGATGCTCTGAATTTCATCTGTTGTCAGACTGGTTGGGAACTCGTAGCTCGTCGGAAGAACCTGGATATGTATAGTTGAAGTGGCAGAACTGAATACGACGGCAAGTTTCATTGTGCTGGAAGTCGGCCGTACAAAATAGTCTGAATCTCCCCCAGGTTTGTTTGTGTGAAGCGTGGACTTCAGGAATGTCGAACCACTGTTCAGGGCTTCTGCAATATCAAATTCACCGCAACCAGACTCCCAACATGAACAACTTGGACTCCCATATTGAATTGTTCGAGGAATCTGAGCGTTGAGGATCCAAACCGAGGGCATGTCGCCATTGAACCCAGTTCTTCCATCTATCGGCATGCTGAATTCTAAGAGGAACACTTTGTTCGCTCCATTGAAGCCATCTACGGGTGTGTCAGTAACGAAGAATCTTCATATATGAAACAGTAACTCACGGTAAGCAACGGATCCAGGTCGCACATAGCCGCAATCGTTGTTGCATTCTTCGTCAAGCATCACGACGATCTCTTCATTTGATGGCAAGGTGGCATCAGCGAGGACTTGAGGTGATGATGCACCGCCTGTGCCACTGCTGTTCACGAAAGAAAGTGAAGCACCATAAGCTTCATCGAATACGCCTGAGCCTTGACCACCACTAATGAAGACAGACTCAGTTAACAATTGATCTTAGGTATTGATATGAGAAGCGAGAATAACATCAGGAGAAATTTATCCGCTTGTCGTACTGTAGAAGTGCACATTACATATCGGGGAAGAATGATCATACTTACTGATTTCCAAGAAATACTAGGTTATCAAGCGTCTGCTCTGCAGAATTATAATAACCTATTCTGCTGTAGGATCCAGATGCTATAGCTGTGGCCGAGCTGGTTGTGCTTGCAGATACTTGAGACTCCGAGGCAGATGGAGTCGTGGATACTTGGGGTTGAGAAGCAGATACATGTGTAAATGCTTGGGACTGAGGCAACGCTGTACTGGGCGGTGGTATGATCGAGGTAGCTAGGTATAAATGTCAGCCACAAAATCAATTCTCTGAGGGGAATTCAATTTCGTACAAGTCTCCTGGGCCTCTTCGCTTGTAGCTGCGCCTTGAGATACACTTTGAGGTACGGTAGTAGATGCTTGGGATACCATTGTCGTTGTACTTGGTCCAAACCAATTGTTGATCCATGTTTGTATTTCACCATTTATTGTAGCAGTAACCGTCTTCGCACCACTATTAAAAGCATCAAGACCTGAGGTGGGATAGTTATCATCCCATGAGACAAGTTGTCCATCAATAGTAGCATGGATCTTGTCGCGCTTCTGATTGCCTGCCCTAGCATGTTTATCAATATGCTGAAGATGGCGACGGCGTCTAGCGGTCGATCCCTGACGTTTCTTCTTGCTAGCAGTAGCGCCCGGTGTATATGCTGCGAACTGCTTCAACTGAAGAGGCCCTGAAAGCATTTGTTAGATTGTATTGAGAGCTAGACTAGGGTTTTTTGCAATTACCCCGAAAGTGGAATGAAACTTCTTCGTCTAATGGAGAAAGCGGACCAGAAAACGACTTCGGTGTAGAAGAACAAATTCCATCCGAGGACATATCGGTAACTTGATTGTAAGTTCCTGGTGCGCCGACATTGCTGTACAAGATAGCATCCACGGGATTGCAGAACCAGTTTCCGGAGACCTCGGAGCAGCCACTGACAATGGATACTGCTAAAGATAGAATGTAGGCCGTGGCCAAAATGTTACTGCGCATGATTGATCTTGTGGGGTAAAATAGAAGGTTCTTTTTTTTGTCATTCGCATAAGAGAAATGGGTAGTAAGTACTTCTTGCGGGTCGTGAGACAGATTGGAGTCTTTATTTGAAAGGTAGGGTAGTAATTGGATCAAAGTCTTGAGGTTCGTGTCATGGAGAGGGCTGAAAAATTTGCGACGGCGTAAAGATATATTATTGAGGAGATTGTGTGATGTGAGTTTCTTGGTATGACTGTAATTTTATTCCTCTTGATTGGATTGTAACCGTCGTGAATAGTGAAATAGAATGAATCAATGGATGAGTGAATGACTGTCGAGAGTGAATAATATGAATCGCCGCAAACAAATAATCATGGAAGTCGTCAGAAGAAAGGTACCCAAAAAGAGCGACTATAGTTAATATGTAGGTGAAGCAGAAGAGGTTGAAAGCGAAATGAAGGTAAATTGTGGTTGAAGTCAAATTGAAGTGAGAATGAAGTGAGAATGAAGTGAGAGTCTGGAGTGAAGTCTGAGTCTGAATGAATAGTCTTGAATTGAGGTACCTTAGGTTAGTTTTGAGAGAGAGAGAGAAATAGAGACAGTCAAAGAAAATTGATAAGATGAAAAAGGAAACCGACAGCGAAGTAGAAGGACCGTGAAGTGGATAAGACAAATCTGTTTGACGGGAGTTTGTGTTGTGGTAAAGAGAGGAAGGAATGATTGAGTACGAACTGCCGGCCCAGCTAGGAGTTATAAGTTATCTAGAGGAAGGATCAACTCTTTTAAGAAGGAAGGAAGGAAAGAGGGCTGAAGTGTCCACGGGTAGTCACAATCGTACTTGGTTGGGGTGAGGCTGATAGAGAGGTTTGAAAAACTAAAAAAACTAAAAATAACCCAAATTTAATCACCATCATCACCATCATCACCATCATCATCACCATCATATCAGCAACGGCAACAGAAGGGTGAGAACATGTAGCAAGGGCACAAGTGGTTCATATCACATCAAACTGTCAAAATTAGCCGCCATGGTAACTCAAAGCCGTTCGTACCTGCATATGCATAACCGAAAGTTAAAAACAGCCAATGATATCACAGGAAATCGACACATCAACGGTCACATAGAACATCAAACTGTTGGTACTCACTCACTAGGTAATTTGAGGACCGACTTACTGAGTATGTATAACACGATGAACGGTTGGGTTATTACAATTTGGAACTACTTATATATAATAATATTAGTACTTATCCATTCATTACTCATTGTTTGTACTCTTCTACTCTTCGACTGTTCTACCCATCTACCCATCTACCCATCTACACTCTTCTTACTTTCATGACTATTCGAATTTGCTATTACTTCAAGCATCGTGCTCTCGCCATACTTCCGATATAACGCTCTGAGCTATGAGTCAGGAATTTCTCAGATTTGAAGACCAGCCCAGCCCTATGATATAATGTCTGTCTTGATTCTCTCCCGCATCCCTTATCAGATTTCACGGTGCGGTGGTTACTAGGAGCATCGTGGAAATTTCATTTTGGAAATTGACTTGCTGAGTTATCATTATCTCAGGTTCGAGCCACCTCGACTTCTTTTGCTCTACAAAAAATATACCGACCCACAAGAAACACAACAGACACATGATCTTCACTTACACAATAATAAACCACATGGAGATTTTGGGCAGATTAATATCAAACAAAAAAGTTGGGAATCGAATTACTGATAATTTCAAAAAATGCATACATTATATATAAATTGGTAAATGCAAGGAAGTATCCAATGGTATCCTGTCTCCTTACTCCATCCCGTGAAGATATATCTAATAACCTTTTCATTATAGTAACTACTACTTTGATCCAAGCTGTTGCACCAATCCAAGTCTTGCGAAGTCACTTGTGCTTCTCCAATAGGCTATCCTACAAAACTTGGTTGGAACCAAATTCGCCTTTCCAAATTACACTATATATCGAGGTTGAGGTTTTTTTTTGTTTTCTTCGTTAGAGTTGACGCCCAGTCCTCCACTTTACATAGTGCCAGCCATGATAACTGTCAAAGTAGCAGTGCTTTGTGAGATGTAACAGCTGCCATCGCTGTTACCGATTGGCTCAGTAGCAGTCAACCAATAGTTTTGGGTTGGATCACTGGTGCAGGCTGGTGCTTCCTCACTGGTGATGGTCATGTTGTAGTTGTTACCAGCAGAGTTCATGATGGCGGACATATCGTATCCGGAACCAGTCTTGAGGAATTGAGCTTCACCCCAGGTGGTGTCAAAGGCTCCTGAAGCGGCAGTTGAACTACAGGCCTGAGCCCAAGCGACTTGAGAGTCCTCATCGAAGGCAACCTTTTGGGAACCACCAGATGGGATAGTGATGGTGAGTGTGGTGTTCTTTGGTGCAAGAGCAGATCCGGAAAGCGGTTGCATGTCAGGACCAACTTTGTTCCAGATGTTGACCGTGATTTTCTTGGATTGGGTGTTGACAAAGTTAACAGTGTAGGAGTAACTTGCTGAGGAGTCGGCCTTGATGACGTTGGATCCATAGGGTTGACCGTAGTTTCCGTAGTAGAAATCGGTGGTTCCTCCAGCGGCGGCTACGACAGAACCGAAAGTTGTTCGGCTGTTGGAAGCACCAACCAACGCGTCGAACAAATCATCGATGTCGTCCTCGATGTTGTCGAGAAGAGAGGAAGAGGAAGAAGAGGTAGCGCTAGACTTGGCAGAGCTTGTTGTAGATGAGCTAGCGGCGGTGGTGCTGGCAGCTACTGATGCGGAAGTAGTGTGGTAGGCGGCAACCTTGTTCTCTGCGAGGTTGTCGGCGGTAGAACTAGAATCGGTGGAAGCGGCAGCAGCGGCGGCAGTCTTAGAGGCTTTGCCTGCTTCATAAGCGGATGACCAGTTGATGCCCATTTCGGCCCAGTCCAATGCCGTCCAATCTTCAACGACAGCACTATTGTCATCTGATTAGCAATCACTCTTCACATTCATCAGAGCGATATCCTTACGCCTTCTTCTCATGTTTGTGTCGGTGAACGTGAGTAGGTCCAGCTACGGCTTCGCCAATGGACATGGCAGCCAAAACAATCGCGGTGGTTGAGTAACGCATTTTCGGAGATAATGATAACTGTCAAGTATTCGCTAATGGGTATAATGCTTTGAATTTAAAGAGGTTGATCGTAAGAGGCCGTTGTTGTTAAAGAGTGTGAGAGCGATGTATTGCTCAGTTGGTTTGATTGACAAAGGAGTGTGTCGAACTGAATGAACGAGAGAACGGCGAGTTTCTTGAATACGGTGAAGGAGAGAAGGAGAGATACGAGAAGAGCGGGAGGGTTGTTTATTAAAGGTCATCTTAAATTGGGACGATCATTTCCTGGGGGTGCCTGTGGGCAGTTGGGAACTTCTTTGGCAACCCGGCCACGATTTAGGTCAGCCGAGTCATTGGAGGAAGCCCTGGAACATTTAGATTTTACTTCAAGCCATGAGGTGCAGGGGACTTCGATTGAGATGAACCCAAGCAACGCCGGGGGATAGTGGTCCACTAAAAACGCGTTCCTGGGAGACTACTCCGAAAAAAAGGGGAAGACGACCAATAATTGGTCAGACGAACCAGGTTCCCACTATTTCTCGAATACGCTATTCCAGGGGTAAAATGCCACGGCATCCACACTTGTTTCTTTCTCACAGATCAACAATCAAAGTGTCAAGCACGGTAGGAGGTCTGTCCCAATTCAACTCAATTAATCATAGCTTACATGACACTTATCGCTTCATGAAGGCATCTTTTCATCTAATTGATTGGAATCACGGAGACCTTCTTTTTTGAGCAAATTGATTGAGAGATTAGACATGATCCCGTTGTTTTCCAAATTCCAATCGGCGCGCAATCAGCCTACGTATAGTGGTATCGGTAACGCTTCAAGGACTGATTTTGGATAGGGCCGTACATGCTAAGAATGGATGCTATGGATCCGGGAGGATTCTAAGTTCTAACCTAATTGAAGAAGAATCTTTAAATCCCATTCGATCCCGTTTGTTTCGGACACTAGAATTTTTGAGGAAATGATGGTTTGCGTGTCCACTGTCCACAGTCCAGACTCCTATCTTAAACTTTCCAAGGTTCATATCAAAGCATCTTGCCAAATCACAATTTGTGCAGGTGGCTGTGATCATCACCATGTGGTAATGCAATAACTATGCATGTGGTAATGAATCATCTCTTGCCCTATAGGGATGAAGCATTGTGGTCCATCATACTATCTTTATGCAGAAGAGATTTTTTTGTGCTCCAGAATGACAATGAAATGCCTCGAATGCGACGTCACGCTGATGAATGAGAGAACGTGGACCCAAAAAAACAAGGCCAAAGATCATGATCCATACGGAATTTTCAGCGCAGAAATTTCTCTTTTACATCAATAATACACCGAAAGTTTCAAAAAGCTGCAGCAGCATCCAGCAATGATTCGAGGCACAGAATTTTCAATGCTTACACAACATGATCGGCAGTCATCTCTACAGGCATCGAATCGTATCAGACGAAATCCTCCTTGAGCATTATCGTTCGACGGGGGTCGCTCCCTAAAGTCATATCCGGTGGTTCTCCCATTCTCAGCGATTGTCAACCACCGGCCAACGCACCGTGCTTTTGCCGATACCATACTTCCCAGGTAGGTAGGTAGGTAGCAAGATACGGGCAGGCAACGCAAGCACTCTTTCGTTTCTCCCAGAGCTTCTCATTACCGTCGCTGCAAATCTGGAAATCATCCCAAATTTGACTGTCTCGAACTTCCAGATCTAGCTGCCAACCCCGCAGTGTATTGATTACGACAAGACAGAGAACCGAAAATATCTTCTTCACATAGGGATCTTTTGTGGTACAAGTGATTTTACAGAGTCGAGCTGTGATGATTCTAGAATAGGAGAATGTGTAAATTTTTGGGTGGTTGGATTCTCCATGACACTATTAATAAATATAAATATAAATATAATTTTCTGTGATATTTTCAGCGTTTTGATGTGTCTCTGTTTCTCATGAGAATGGGGGAGAATTCTATCCATTTTTCTCATGCTTTGCTTTTCATTTGCATGTCCATCCCATCGCTCTCGGGGTTTCAGAAGCTCTTAGTTCTCAATGTTAGGACGATGGCGGTAGGTCCAAGTGCTGGAGCTCCTGAAACGAGACTCTAGAGCAAGTCGAAACGAGTTGGGGATGTACACATGTAAACATGTAAACAAATACAAAGTAAGTAATAAACAAATGTTTCCCGTGGGCCGTAAGTAATAATTAGTAAGTACTGTACTCAGAAGTCTCTTTTACAAGTTTTTATTTGCTTTTACTTTTTTTCTTCTTGGTTGCATCATTGCATGGAGACTCGAGAGAGGCAGGGAGAGGGTCATGGAGTAATAAATTCTCGGACTGGGTTTTTACAATCGAACCTTCCTACCTAGTAGATTCTGGATTCTGGATTTCTAATTGTACGGAGTATACCACCAGTACCTAATTACTTATCAGAACGTGCCACTGGCTAAATAGCTATTCGACCGAGTATGTAGCCTAAAAAGAATTTGCGTCGAGCTCTTCTTCTCATTCGTAGAACCATTTTTTTTCTCTCACGGAGTACTTTCTTTGTAATTCTAGACTCCATACGAGTACACTGGTGTACCGTAATTAGTAGATAATGAGATTTGGAAGTGTGTACAGTAAGTATGTGGAAGGGATCCATACACACATATCTACCGGTACCTACATCGATAGGTACTAAAAAGACGGTCTAGAATAACCATGTGAAGTGGCATTTCGACGGCGTGTTTGATGTTTGATAGTTGATGGAGGGCCGGTGGGTAATTGGTACGGTACGATGGATTAGTTTAGGTGCCGGAGAGTTGGTGGGCTAGGTACGTACTGTAGCGGATAGTCGATGAGATAGATGGTGTGGTAGCGTGGAATGGAGGATGG